GGTGCCCCTGGCTGGAGGGTGGGAGTGGGGTGGGCTGGGAGCCAAGCAAGGCTTTGTCTTTTTTATTTTATTTTATTTTATTTTATTTTATTTTATTTTATTTTATTTTATTTTATTTTATTATTTTATTTTATTTTATTTTATTTTCTTATTTTCTCTTATTTTCTCTTATTCTATTTTATCTTATTCTATTCTATTCTATTCTATTCTATTCTCTTTATTTATTTATTTTCTTTGCCGCTTGCTCTATGTGTACCCCAGCCCAGCTTCTGATTTCACAGTTTGCTATTCCAGGAACAGATGTTGAGTGAGGCCTGATGCCTTCCTGCTTCCACCTCCCCGGCTCCTGTCTCAGCCGGTCTGTTTTCAGTTTCCTGAAGATTCCCTATCGCCTCCCAGCCTTAAGTTCTCCATTAATTAAGGCTGGAGCTTTCAGAGGGGCGTTAGTTTGGGGCGGGGAGGGGAAGGGGGGGATGGGAGGGGGCATGGTCTCCATACTCAGGAGTTTTTATCTCACAAGGCGCCCCCGGGGGATGATCGGGGGGCCCCCCCCCCCCCCCCCCGTTTCGGTCGCGAGCCCCGCTGTGATGCTGGCGCGTGCTAAGGACCCTCACCTCAAAGAAAAGGTAAGGAAGCGCTTGACTGTGGACAACATACCGCCATGCGTTCTCAGCGGTTCCATGGGCCCCCACGATCCCCACGGTGAGAATCATCCCAGCAGGCGTGCAGGGCCGATGAATCGATACAATTTAAAGCAAAATTTTTCCAGAACCCTTCACCCCTTCACACCCCTAATATAGAAGTCTTTCTGAGGGGAAGAAGTCTCCAGAAACGTGTCACTTTCCGATGAGCAAACTTAGCTCACGTGTCTGTGTTCCTGTGGTGTTCCACCACCAGTGATGATGAGCATAGCTAACAGGTTTACATCCCTTTCTGTGCCAGGGCAAGGCGCCCTTTTAGGCGGGGCGGGTGTAGATTTGCCCAGAGCTAACATTCCAGGGGAGGGTGGGGAGACAGACAATGAGCAAGTAAACAAAAGGGCCACTTGAGATTCACAAGTCGGAGCTGCAGGGGAAATAAACATAGTGACAGGCTGGGTCATAACTCGGGAGGGTCAGGGAAGGCCTGACCCTCAAGGAGGTGTTATTTCACCCGGGGCTGGAAAGGTGAGAGGGACTTTTGGGTCTGTCTCCAATGTAAGGCGTGAAAACCAGCTCACATCACAGCGCTCACGCCTCTCAAAGCTCTGGCAGCCACTCCATTTCACAGACCGGCACACTGAGGCTGGGGGGGCCCTGAAGGGGGTGGGGGGGGACCAGGAACTGGAGCCTCTCCGAGCCCCAAGCCCGTGTTCTTCCTTTTTATAAAAATAGCTCTACTGAAATATAATGTACGTACCGGAGAACTCTCTTGTTTTAAGTGTACAAGTCAGTGTCTTTGAGGAAATTTACAGAGTTGTGCAACGATTACCACAATTCAATTTTAGAACATTTTCATCACCCCGCAGAGGTCCCTTCTTTGTCTTGTGCAGTCACGCCCTGCTCCCACGCCCAGCCCCGGGGCAACCACCAGTCGCCTTTCTCTCTGTGTAGACTCCCCTTTCTTCCTGGCACCGTCTTTCGCATCCGACTTCTCCCACTGGGGGGAGTCCGCTCTCCTTCAGGGTCACGGTGGAGGTCGGGGCGAGGAAGAAAGGGGGGGGGGGAGGATTCGATTTAGGGAAAAGTCTCCCCAAAGACGGCATTAGAAACCAAGGAATACGATGTTGGGGAGAGTTGAGCGGCCACCAGCTAGGGTGATACACCTAGGAATACTTTTGCCCCCCGAGAACCCATGGTCTCCCTCTGGGGCTTACGCCATCCTGTGGAGAATGCGAGACTTCGCGTGCGATTTCTGGGGCCCGTCCGTGTCGTAGCGGTGCGTGTCAGAAGTCAGGTCCTTTTGGGTGTTAGGTGGTGGTGGTCCGTGGCAGAGATCCACGGCGTCTTTCCCCTCCGTTCACCAGTTAATGGACTTTCGGGTTGCCTCCACTTTTGGGCCTTCGGGGTTTTTACCCTTGAACGCCACACTGCCGGGCTGCCTTCTCCCCATTGGAGGAAAAGCCTGTGGGGCCTCTCAGCACTGCTTCCGGAGGATGAAATCGTCCTCAGTTCCCTTGTCTGTAGACTGCGGGTAATAACCTTCAGGCCGTGGGGCTGTGGAGGCAAAGATCTGCACGTCCTATCCGCCCGGTGCCCGGCAGATGGCAACAGCTCAGCCACTGTGTGTCAGGGGCCCTCCCCACCCCTCGTTCTTCCCGCGGGGAAAGGTGCCCCCTCTGAAACCTCACCCGTGGCCTTCCTCCCAGCTCCAGCTTCAATCTGTGTCTTCTCAGATTATGTAATGTCTGACATGATTATTTTCTCCTTTCTCGCTGGTGTTATTCAGGTCAAACCCAACATTGTTCCTTAACAGGAATCTCAAGTATTTCTCTCCTCTTGGCGCTCTTCTTCTGGTCTCTGGTTGATACATTTCCAGGGACCAATTGATATCATCTGCCGCTTAGAAACTAGGCCTCCTGGGGAATGGGGCTGGGTGGGGAGATCACATGGCCCTGTTGCAGCAAAAGGAGCACTGGGCCGCGAGTCCAGAGACCAGGCCTCGTACCCAGCTGGGCTGAGTGGCCTCTGGGGCCAAACCCCGGAGGCATTTGAATTAACTTTTTCTTTTGGCAAAAGGCATCCTCTTCACGCATCTGTCCTAAAAGCGGCAATGAGAAATTGCCTTTGAAAGTGTCTTGTAGGGGCACCTGTGTGGCTCAGTCTGTTAAGAGTCCGGGACTTTGGGCTCAGGTCACGATCTTGTGGTTCGTGGGTTCAGGCCCCGCCGTCTGGCTCTGTGCTGACAGCTCAGAGCCCGGAGCCCGCTTTGGATCCTGTGTCTCCCTCACTCTCTGCCTCTCCCTCTCGCGCTCTGTCTTCTAAAATGAATACAGGTTAACAACAACAACAACAACTAAAAAAAAAAGTGTCTCTTGTATCAGATGGTGAGGCCCTTAGAAAAAGATGGATAGAATGTATCCCCACTGTTGTGTGGGGGCCTGCCTGGTGATGCTCTCCTGTTTGGGGGATGGGTGGGGAGGGGAGGGGAGGGGAGGGGAGGAGGGGCAGGTGTGACCACAGAACGCTGGACAGTCTCAGGCTCCTGCCTCTTTCCCTTAAGATCTGTAAGAATTTGATGTGGGTACTGGGCCCAGTGTGGCAGGGGAAGAGGGACACCGTGGAACTGGCCTGAGTGAGCCTCACCCTGAGACAGTGTCTGCCCTTGTAAACTCCTAGGCAGTAAGGGCCAAGGGAATGCCCCGTAGAGGCAGACCCGTGACAGTTGTGTCCCCTGCACATGCTTTCACCCGCTCCCGGCCTCCTCGGCCTCTCCCCTTGCCCCTCCGCTTCCCCGCCGTTTTCTTGTTTTCCACGGGCCAGACCTGAGGAGTAGGGGCAGGTAGGGCGGGGACTGTTGGGTCAGAAAGGACCCCTTCCTGGCAGCCACCGAGCATCGCGATTAGGGGGAAGAATTCTGATGCCAGCCGGCCTGGGTCTGGGTTCTAGCTGGCGGCTTCCCGGCAGGGCAGGGTGGCCAAGTAGAGGAACCTCTCTGAGCGTTGGTTTTCTTGGCTGCAAAGTGGAACTAAGACACTGCCTCCTTCTGGGAGGCCCAGATGAGATTAAAGTGCTTGAGCCAGTGTTTGACTACCCCACGAACTTTAGTTATTATCACTGCTGTCTGGAGCAGGAGAGAGTAAGGCCTGGCCAAGTGGAGGAGAGAGACACAGTTGCCTGCATGATGTATTTTTGGAAGGCCACCAGACTCAAACTTGCAGAACACTCTCGTCACCTGAAATCCCCGCCCCCGAGAACCCATGAGGGTCCCGAAGGCCCGCTCCGCCTCTCAGGTTCCTATTCAGACGAAGATACCCCCCAGGAGGGTTTATGGCGCCACCCTCTCAGCGGAGGTTCAGAGACAGAGAGGGTGTGTGAGGCCCAAAGGGAGGTGATGTCCCAGAGCCAGGAACATGTCCGTCCTGGCCCCCCCCCCCCCTGCTCCTGAGCAAGCACGAGGGTCAACTGTCTGGCCTTGAATTATCCCGATTAAAGGCAGACATCAGATCAGGTTGTTCACAAAGGGTCTTAGAGTTGGAAATGATTTGTTTTCCCCCTAACACAATATTTTCTTCTAGAAAGAAAGAGAAAAGAGGGTGAGTGGACGGATAAATGTGTGCATGAATATGGGGTCGGGAAACTCGGAAGCTCTCATACGTTTATATTGTTTGTCTCCAAAGCAACTTGCCATCCCATGTCTTGTCGTCTTGTTTGAGAGACAAAGTGACTTGGTCCGGTGACCAAGGGGCTGAACCAGACCAGTTCCCTAGCCAGTGCACTGATAAATGTTTAACAACTAGCACTTTGTCGGGGAAAGCCCTGACTTGTGACATGTTCCAATTGCTATGGTGTAAATCTCCTACCATGGCCAATGTCAATCTATCCGCGTGACCCCATTGTATACAGGGTTGGGAAGAGATGATCATAAGCATGCCATTAATATGGTATTTCCACCACGTAGATACAATAGACATGCGTGGCCTCAGAAGCGTAGATAATAGTAAAATCAGCAGTGCGTTTTGAGTGGTTTTCACCTTCGCTGTTCATATAATTTATTGGGTTGTAAATGCACATAATTCTTAAAAACCTGCTTGAGGCACACGGAAAGATGACCACATGAGGAGAGCAAGCTAAGAAGAGAAGCCTCAGGGGAAACTAATCCTGCTGGTAGCCTGATCTTGCGTTTCCAGCCTCCAGAACCGTGAGAAAATAAATTCACGTGGTTCAAGTGGGAGGAACGAAAAACTGGCTCGCAAAATGACTGGAAATTCAACAATCAGCTCTCACAAGCCGGTCGGGGCTGGATTTGGTATTCTGCTGCCTCCAAACCATGGGCCAGTGGGAGTCCAGGGAGGTTCCTCAAACCAAGCCTCCCCCTCGCCCATCGCTGAAGTAGTCCAGTTAGAGGACACCCACTGCAGGCCCGGCCAAGATGGCTGCCCTCATCACCCGTCCGTTGAGTCCTGGGCGTGAAGGGGAAGTGGCCAGGCTGCGAATGCATCCTTTGCCATGCGCCACCTCTTCCAAGGAAGTTGGGCTTGCCCTGCCCGAGTCGGGACTGCTTCAGGAAGAGGAGTCGAAGGCACTCAATTTTCAGCCTGTTCACTGCTTGAGAAAATTCTAGCAACTCTCACAAAGGGAGGTTTGTGTGAAAGGAAAAGTGCTTAGGGGTCCAAAGAAGTCCGAGTGGGGAATTCCACTTTCCTTCAGGGATTTTGAAGACAGAAGTTCCAGAGGCCAAGTCTATTCTCTTGACGTCCTGTCAGGGGAGAAGGGCATTGTGGGTAACCTCCTCCCAGAACAAGAAGCGAGGTCAGGGCCGAGGCCCCATGCAGGCTTGAGGCCTGCTTGCTCCTGTGCTCTGTGCTGGGCCTGGCCGTCGAGAGAGCCGGCAGGGAGCCCTTCCTTTCAGCCGCCTCTCTCCCGCCTCACCCATGACTCCCTTGGGCTTCTGCCTGCTCCAGGGGAGCCCATGGAGCATTATCCTG